TGTAGGTTGTTCAACCCCCACATTGGGCTCTGGAGTTATGGTGAGTTCCACGTCGTGGGGCTTTGGAGGAAAAGCTGTAGGATTTTCAACCCCCACATTGGGCTCTGGAGTTATAGTGAGTTCCACGTCCTGGGGCTTTGGAGGTAAAGTTGTAGGTTGTTCAACCCCCACATTGGGCTCTGGAGTTATGGTGATTTCCACATCCTGGGGCTTTGGAGGAGCTGTAGGATGTTCAACCACCACATTAGGCTCTGGAGTTATGGGGAGTTCCACATAGTGGGGCTTTGGAGGAGCTGTAGGTTGTTCAACCCCCACATTGGGCTCTGGAGTTATGGGGATTTCCACGTAGTGGGGCTGTAGAGGAAAAGCTGTAGGATGTTCAACCACCACATTGGGCTCTGGAGTTATGGGGATTTCCACGTGGTGGGGCTGTAGAGGATGTTCAGCCACCACATTGGGCCCTGGAGTTATGTGGATTTCCACATGGTGGGGCTGTAGAGGATGTTCAGCCACCACATTGGGCTCTGGAGTTATGGGGAGTTCCACTTCCACAGGTTTAAATGTAAAGCTGGGTACTGTTGAAAAATGAACTTGATTCTCAGTTAGGACCTGTGGCTGAGTTGAAGTTTCTTGTGTTGGAATTATTCCTTCTTGATACGTTGGAAGCAAAGTTGAAGTTTCCTTCATGGTTGGAAAAACAAATACAGGGACCGTTGGAAGAGATATATGGTACGTTCCAACAGCCATAGGGAATAATGGAAGAGCTACAGGCTTCTTAGTTGTAGAATGTTTAGTGGGTTTTGGAGTTGAGGTGAGTTCCAGGTCCAAAGGTTGAAATGTAACACTGGGTGATGTTAAATCCTGAGCTTTATTCTGACTTAGGACCTGAGTTGAAGTTTCCATCTGAGTTGTGGTTGCTTGTTGGGCTGAAGAAAATCCAAAGTTTTCAGGGAATCCTGGAGACTGGGAAGGGGCATTAGACTGGGTTGGATAAAATGTAACTTGCTCAACTTCTTTAGTGGCTTCTGAAGGTACAGTAACCATCAGAGCCACATGTTGAACTGTGGTTTTAGGCAAATATGAAGACCCACTTCTGAATATTACTTCTAGATCTTGAGGTGAAAATGACATGGAATCACTGAATGAAGCAATAGTCGAGACAAATGTGGATTCTGRAGGTTTAGTTGGGAGTGTTTCCTGGACTGGTGGAAGTTCAACACTCACGGGGGGCGTTGAGGGCAGAGATGAGCTCKCCTGCTGACTTGATAAAGATTCCTCAGGCAGCTCTTCAAGCTGACTGGGGACCTCTTGATCAATTGGAGGTTGTTCCTCCTCTAGAGGGGGGCTTGGCTGAGGTTCCAACTGCTCAGGGGACACTGAGGACTCATCTAGGGTCTCCTGTTGCGCTGAAGTTTCAACCTCATTATTCAATTCTGGAGTTGGAGACTCAGCTTGATCAGAACCTAGAGAAGAACCTGTCACATCCTCACCTTCTGGAGGTTGACCTACATCGTTAGGGAGCTCTGGAGGCACAGTTGGGGCTTCAGGCTGGGATGCAGAAGGTCCTAACTCATTAGTTGGAATTGAGGGAGGAACTATAGCCTCACCATTGATCACAGAAGTTCCCACCTCTGTAGTGGGTTCAGGTGTTATAGTAATTAGTACATCTGCAGGTTTACCAGTCACACTGGGCAAGTCTAGAGGTTGCACTGGTACTTCCAGCTGGCTTTCAGAAGACTGGTCCTCCCCAGGAGACTCAGAAGGCTGAGTTGGGGTCTCTTGCTCACTGAGAGAAGGTTCATTCTCCACAGGAGGGCCCGGAGGCTGAGCTGGGGTCTCTTGCTGGGTTAGAGAAGGTTCTACCTCCTCAGCATACTCTGGAGGCTGAACTGGGGCCTCCTGAACTGGGGCCTCCTGAACTGGAGCCTCTGGCTGAACTGGGGCCTCCTGAACTGGGGCCTCCTGAACTGGGGCCTCTGGCTGAACTGGGGCCTCTGGCTGAACTGGGGCCTCTGGCTGAACTGGGGCCTCCTGAACAGAGGCCTCTGGCTGAATTGGGGCCTCCTGCTGGGCTAGAGAAGATTCGGCCTCCTTGGTAGGTTCCGAAGTTATGGTAATTTCCACGTCTGCAGGCCTACCTGTAACACTGGGCAAGTTATAATAATGAACTTGATCCTGACCTAGAGATGGAACTACAGGTAGAGTTGGTAGAGTTTCAGCTATATTCTCCATAGGGGACTTGGGAGCTTGAACTGGAGTCTCTTGCTCAGCTAAAGAGGGTTCAGAGAGCTCTGAAGTCTGAGCTGGAGCCTCCTGTTGGGTTGATGAAGGTTCTACTACTTCAAGACCCTCTGAAGGCTGGGTTGGGGCCTGCTCCTGGCCTGAAGGAAGGTGAATCTCTTTATCTGCCTGCGGAGTTACGGTAATCAGATCTGCAGGTTTACTTGTGACAACTGGCTGAGCGTCACTTCTTAGAGATGAAAGTTTATGATGCATTGATGCTTCACCTCCTAGAGCCTCCTGGTCCTCAGGAACTTCTTGCTGGGACGAAGAGGACTGGAGCTCCTCAGGAGTCTCTTGGGCCTCCAGAGAAGGTTCAACCTGGTCAGGAGTTTCTGGAGACTCATCTGAGTTCTCCTGGGATTCCGCAGGTAGGTTGCCAGAATAAGCTACATCTGTACTTGGATATACATAATCATCCTGCAAGTTTTTTTGAAGCTGAAGTTTTGCAAATTGCTTTGGAGTTCCACCAACAACTTTAGCAAATCTCGGATGCTGAGCTACATCCTTCTTCAGATTCAGTGGTGAAACAATAAACTTTGCTGCTTTTGAACTCTGGCTATCTAGAGGTGGAACAAGTACTTCAAATGACTGGTGATCTGTAGACTGATCTAGATTGACAGTATGAATCTTACTTTTGAGTAGAGAAGGTAGAGCTAGGACCTGATTCTGATCCCCATCTAGCATTGGAACCAATTCTGGGAGCCTCTCTTGCCGAATTAGTTTGTCTTGATGCAGATCCTGACGTGGAACAGCAAACTCATCTACCTCTGGGGGCGGCTCTCCAGGTGAATCCCTGAGCAAGAATGGAAGCAAACTGTCAGTTAACTTCTGTGGCGAGTCCAACATCTGGGAGCGAGCAGAGGACCCCAGGTCTTCAAAGCCTCCATGGTCTGCCAGGGGTGTAAGCGCATGGGGCGATAAGGGTGGGAGTTCAGAGGAGTGCAGAGACCAGGGCTTGATAGGCCCTGGGGGCTCTGAGGTCAGCTGGAGAGGGTCCTGGGTCGACTCCAGAAGCTGAGCTGCCTGGACCAGCAGCAACAATGGTTGCCACGTGAGGAKAAGCCGTGGTGCCCAGAGGCGCAGCAGGGACATGACATGCAGAGGCTCCGGGGCACAGCGACCCAGGCCAAAGGGGTGCCGGCTGCGCCTGTGGGAGCCTAACCGTTATGGCAGTCTCTTGACGCTGGCGCCTGGGAAACCGCTTGGCCCCGCCCCGCCCTTTATTTACGACACCTTTGTTTACGCAACCTTTATTAGGCTCAACATTTATTAGGCTAGCTCAGACGGGGAGCCTTTTCCCACAATCAACCAACCCAAGCTTCCCTTCCCCCGGCAGGGGCCACAATCGACTCCTACAGGCCCCCTCCCCTACATTGAAGCAGGATCTGGGCCCTAGATGTGGGTGGCCCCGGGACTCTAGCAGCCCATTGGGTGGGGGGCGGCAGAGATTCCCAAGGAAGTCACAGGACTGAGCTTCTGGGGATATTCAGTAGTGCTAGTCCAGTTCTGGTGGCCTGAATTCTTCCTCTTCCAGGCTGAAATCCGAGAGATATTCTTCCTCCCCTTGGCTATACTGCTTCCAAGAGAAGCAAGTGACCTGTAAAACAAGGGCCAGTTAGGTTAACAGGCAGACTACACATTAAGGTTATTTATTCCAAAATGTTGCCATTTGCTCTAAACTCTCTGTATCCTATTTCATGTTTGATAATTAATTCATCACTCTGTTAGGCTAGGGCTACCATTGAAATCAGTGATGACTCCGAAATTTCTGTAGGAGGGGTTTTAGGCAGTGGGCAATTCAGTCTGAGAAAGGGGGTGTGAATCCGTGTGGACAGCCCTTTACACTGGCATGGGAAAACATCTCCTTCCCACATTGGCTCACGTAGGCATGACAACACCACTTTTTTAGAGACCACTCATGTGCACATATCTAGAGAAGGCAGGATATTAAAGCCTGCAACTTAAATAGTTTTCTTGAAACACTACTAAGACTAGAACCCAAATGACTTTTTTTTCAGAGCCCTTATAGTAATCTGTTTTATTACTTATTACCTGACACAACYCTAGTGCATAAAGATGTGTCATCTTCTTATTCCCAGTGCCTTGCATATGGCTGAGCACATAGTAATGGTTTTCAAAGTCACCTCCTTAAGGGGTGGATCTGCTCTTATAATGGAATTTCTACAGTCAGTGTGGACTTACTTCCTTTCACATTTCACAGGAAGTGAGACTTCTTAAAGTTAAGTTTCCTTAACTGGTTTTATTTAAATTGAACTAAAACTTTTACATGGAAATAACTTAAAATACTGTTTCAGAATGCAACCCACTTCCTCTGCCTTTTCAAAATAAAACACCCCACATTTTTGAAGAGAGACATATAATTGAAAATCTCCAAATTAATCCCCCCGCCCCCGCATAAAACATTTTTGTGCCTCCCCCAAATATCTTATACATAGTAAATAATGCCTAATCTAGAAATTACTTTGGCAACTTACTCCCTAGTTAAGGGCTTTCATATAATTGATTTACAGAAAGGTTCTTCAGCAAAATATTCTACTTGAGTATAAGGAGATGTTGAGATTTAGGTAACACACATTTTAGAGGCATAAATAGTTCTCAAAGCTACAACACAATCAAACCTAAGGCTGTAGTTACTCTGTTGTCAAATCTCTGTGATCCTACTTGAGGGAAAATCTAAAAAGACAAGCAGGCCACTTTCTCTAACTCTGGAAAGGGAGCCTAGCTCCTCTTTTGAGTCTATAACTACAGTAGTCCCTTGAAAGGTCTCAATTCTACTCTCTAAACTTCAAACAATGGGTCAGGAAGTCCATAAATCCCCTACAATCAAAAGCAGTTTTAGAGTTTCATTTTTCTAAGAATGATACATGATGAAATGCTGAAGTCTTTCAATAACACTGGTTTCTTTTCTTTTCTTTATGGTACCAGGGCGCTCAACCACTGAGCCATATTCCCAGCCCTTTTTAAAAAAAAAAAAAAAATATTTTTAGCTGTCAGTGAATCTTTATTTTATTTACTTATATGTGGTGCTGAGAAACAAACCCAGTGCCTCACACATGCTAGGAAAGTGGTCTACCACTGAGCTATAACACCAGGCCACCTAGCCCTTTTTTTTTTTTTTTTTTTAATTCTTTTCTTTTGAGACAGGGTCTTGCTGAGTTGCTTAAGGCCTTGCTAAGTTGCTGAGGCTGGTTTTGAAATCGTGATCCTCCTGCCTCAGCCTCCCAAGCTGCTGGGATTACAGGCATGAACCCCTGCACCCAGCCCACTGGTTGTTTTCAATCATGGCTACATTGACTATGGAATCCCTGAGCTTTCATCTTCACATACTTGAATTATATCATGTAGTTCTTCTTCATTTCTGGCAACTCTGATCTCTTCACTGGGTCTGTATACCACAGCTATTTTACCACTCTCTGAAATAAAGTTACAAGAATTAATTCAGAATTTTTCTTATTCTAAAACTTACTGCACACAATGGTAGCACCCTAATGAGACATGCCTTTGATTTCTGAAAGAAAATAAGAGCATTTCTTAGAAATGTCCTCACCTACGCATCAGTCTTAACATAACTATTTGTTTAAAAATACATAATGAAGTATCAACAATGTTTGGTTAAAAGAATGCTGTGATCTTAGAGATAGGAACTAAGAAATAATGACATAGGAAATATTCGTAAACAAAAATGTACAAATGGTTCAGTAAGCATAAGGAAGAGGTCAAAGTAAGTTCAAACCCAAGTGTAGATCCCTGGCCTAGAAGACACTTCATATTAGAAGAAGGAGCAATTTCCTACTCCCTGAGAACCAAAATTCCACCAGAAACAATGAGCAAATTTTTGGAGAAAGTACTAGCACCTTTTATTGGCAGAAACTGGTCTACTTACCTTATAGACAATACAGTTTTCCTTCAAAGCATAAAGCTTTTGATCTAAAGAGTTTTGAGTTCATATAAGCTTAGTTCCTTAGTTCTTCAAGATTGTTACTCAAGAGTTGACCGTTGGAAATTCTAGCTCATGAATCCGGAAGGGCTGCCCAGATTGGAAGGCTGAGACCAATCAGGGCTACCTCTTACAAGCAAATAAGGGTATCTAATAACTTAATTAGGATTTCTCAGTTTCTAAGCTTGTAAGCCCATGAACTAGGAGAACAGTTGTGTTTGGAAATTCTGCTAATCATCCCATTTTTTTTGAATGTGGCCTGTAACATACACATCACAGGAGAACTCGAGTGGGAGCGTGATGTCATTCAAAACCTGCTTCTTTGAAGGCTCACATGAAAGCAGCTAATTATTATATAAGAGTCATATTTAGGGGCTGGGGATGTGGCTCAAGCGGTAGCGCACTCGCCTGGCATGCGTGTGGCCCGGGTTCGATTCTCAGCACCACATACCAACAAAGATGTTGTGTCCGCCGAGAACTAAAAAATAAATATTAAAAATTCTCTCTCTCTCTCTCACTCTCAAAAAAAAAAAAAGAGTCATATTTACCCAATATGTCAATGCCATAAGTAAAAACTGAACTGAATTCTTAATTCAGCAGAGTTTATTTATCTGTTTACTCAGAAAGAAAATGATAACAATGATAGTGAACATATTATGTTTGCTTATCATGTAAGCATAGTTCTGAACTTTTTACATTTATAATCTCATTTATTCTTACAATATCCCCCATTAGGTAGGCAGAATTACTAGCCCTATTTTACAATAATGAGATTGCAATTTAGAGATATTAAATACCTAAAATCTGTCTGACTATAAAACCTAAATTACTTTAAAAATCTAAGATACAAGCTAGGCACGGTGGTATACACCTGTAATCCCAGCAGCTAGGGAGGCTGAGGCAGGAGGATCTCAAGTCCAAAGCCAGCCTCAGCAACTTTGTAAGGCCCTAAGCAACTCAGTGAGATCCTGTCTCTAAATAAAATACAAAAAGGATTGGGGATGTGGCTCAGTGGCCGAGTGCCCCTGGGTTCAATCCCTGGTATCCCCCCACCAAACAAAACAAAACAAAACAAAAAACCTAAGTTAGGACTCAAACCCAGGTGTCCAAAACTTACAGTCACTATTCTGTATGACAGGCAAGCAAATGAGAAGGAAGACTTGGATCAAATACTTTCTGCATGASCTTAGGCAAGTTGTTCTACATTCATAAACTGGGGACAATAATATTTGCAGTCATTTTTCTCACAAATATCACAGGACAAATTTGAGACCATTGCTATGAAAGAATTTAGTGAATGAAAGCATTATATGGAAGGTTTTAGATATCCACATTTTCATCCAATTAACTTTCAAAATGAGTTTATTTGCTCATTGAAACTGAAGTACTTCAAAGACAAAGAAGTCTTACCTAAAACTACAATGAACAGTTTCTGGAATGCATCTGATAAAGCCTTCTGAACAGCAAGCTTCTGGGCCTTCTTTCTTTTCATAAGGAATGATAATGGTCCTAAATCCAACCAGAACAAATGGATTTATTTTTTTTTTATTTAAATCAATTCTTTTTTTTTTTTTTTTAATTCTTGGCAGACACAACAACTTTGTTTGTATGTGGTGCTGAGGATCGAACCTGGGCCGCACGCATGCCAAGCAAGCGCGCTACCGCTTGAGCCACATCCCCAGCCCAACAAATAGATTTAAAATATGTGTATGAATGATATTTATAATCTCATTTATTCTTACAATATCCCCCATAAGGTAGGCAGAATTACTAGCCCTATTTTACAATAATGAGATTGCAATTTAGAGATATTAAATACCTAAAATCTATCTGACTATAAAACCTAAATTACTTTAAAAATCTAAGATACAAGTTAGGCACGGTGGTAGAGAGTTGTGGTAGAGCATTTGCCTAGCACGTGTGAGGCACTGAGTTCGATCCCTGGCACCACATAAAAATAAACAATACAATAAAGATATTGTGTCCATCTACAACTAAAAAAATATATAAAAAAAATACATCCACAATTCTGAGATCATTATCCTTGCAATTAAAAGCAGCATACCACATGGGTTTTGTTGAATGGCTGTTGTAGGTGCATCCTGATAGGGTCCATTTTCACTGCCCCAATCTAATATGGAAGTTCTTGATGTGCTAGAAGGGATATCCACGCCAGGAAGTTGACATAAGTCTCACATCACTCAGATTTTAAATGGACAACTGGAAGTTACACTCCTAAAGACCCTAGCCTCCAATGCATCAGGACCGGAATTACACCCTGAGAAAGATTTGGTGGAAATGCAGGGCCTGGTTCCTACCTGTGTTCAGCCACAGCAGCCTACTCAGCTCCACTAACAGCCTTGCCTCTGAGTTAAAACCCTAAGCCTGAGTGTCACAGATTCTAGAAAAACTCAGTTGTAAACTGCAGTATCCTTTCTAGGTATCTTTGATTCTTTTTCTGCTCAAGACCCTTCATGAGTAGTAAAAGGACTGAATATTTATATAAGTATATGAAAATCTTATCTAGAATTAGCTGAGGTAAGTGAAGACCACAAGAAATCTATAGTTGAARAACTATTTTAGCATAAAGCAAGTTCTCAACTCAAAACTGGAAAAACATTATCTCTTTCCTCTTCCTAAGCTTCTTGGCAGGAGGTCAGTCTCAAATTTTAAATTTTAAGGTTCTGTTAGGTATTGCCCAAGGTGAAAAACTGTATTGTAAGGCACAAAAATTCTTCCTAGGATTTTTAGTAGCTTAGCAAGTGAAGGACTTGATGGGTAGCTAAAAAGTGAGCTTTAGAAAGAAGAAAGACCCTTCTCTTTCCCTTCCCCAACTGAGAACAGACCTTCCTCCTGCTGATCCAAAGGTTCCTCCACAATGCCTACTCCCGGACTCCTGCATGCACAGGATGGCAACACCACCTCTAAAGCACAGAAGAACTTCAGGCTTCGCTTCTCCATTGGTGACTCCAGAGCATCATTTTCCCTTTCTTCCAGGTCAGAAAGCTCCTGAAGCTATTAGGATTTGAATTAAAATGCCTTTCTAGGATTTTTTACTTTTCTTTTTTTCCCAACGCTGGGCCTCACACATGCTAGGCAAGTGCTCTACCACTGAGGTACATGCTAAGCCCCRCTCCCTCCCCATTTTAACATACAGAAATAAAACTAAACTCCAATAATCACAGACTGAGATATCCCACAGCTTCAAAATCAGGTAAGATTTGGATCTAAATTACTAGATATAGGATATAGATATAGGAAAGCATTTTTTATTAAACAATACACAGACACTGGAGAAAACTACAGACAACACCATTCAGATGATTAAGGTGATTATCATTATTATTTGTTTATCTGGTACTAGGGATTGAACTGGGGCACTTAGTTACTAAGCTACATCCCCAAACCATTTGATTTTTTATTTTGAGACAGGATCTTGCCGAATTGCTTAGTGTCTGAGACTAGCTTTGAACTTGCAATCCTTCTGCCTCAGCTTCCTGAACTGCTGGGATTACAGGTGTGCACCACCATGCCTGGAAATTATTATTAATTCTATGTTGTGGGCCGATTCAAATATATCCACTCACCTTCAGTGGTAGGTAGCCTCTCACATCTCCCTCTACAATACAGTTCAATCCTTCTTTTAGAGTCTAGGATTATAATGTTGAAAGAAGAGTGTACTCAAAGAAAGTCTACAGAGTTTACCTTAATGATCCTTTTTGACCATCCATTGAAACCAAAGTAGTAATTTGCCAGTTTTTGGCATTGTGAACTGTTTAGGGCAAAGGCTTGATGTTGAACTACCTTATGTCTGGTGCCAAGACGAACCTAAAGTCATAAAAGAGATGCACAAATATCATAACCTGCCAGAGATTTTATCTTGGATACACCCGACATTCATTGATACTGAATTCATAGAGTGATTGTTAAAATTAAATGGGATAGAAAGAGGGGTTGGAACTGTGACTCAGTGATAGAGCACTTGCATAGCATGTGTGAGGCACTGGGTTTGATCCTCAGCACTACATATAAATAAACAAACAAACAAAAACAAACAAATAAATAAATAAAATGTCCATCTACAACTGAAAAAAGAGTTTAAAAAAAGGGCTGGGATTGTGGCTCAGCAATAGAGTGCTCGCCTAGCATGGGCAGGACCTGGGTTTGATTCTCAGCACCACATAAAAATAAAGGCACTGTGTTGTGTCCATCTATACCTCAAAAAATAAATATTAAAAAAAGAGTTAAAAAAAGATTAAATGGGGTAGAAGAAACATTTTAAGTATTGCATTACTAATAAGCCCTAAACAAATGTTATTTTATTATTTCTAAGCCACAGTACTTTGCTTCATCATTTTCAGGACCCCTGATTAATTGGAAGGTTCCTCTGACCTCTGGTGGTGATAAGTGATAATGAAATCAACTAAGGGAGTCCTGGAGAAAAAATACAGAATTGTGAGAGAGCAAAGAAATTTTATTTTGCACCAATAAAAATATGGAAAAATAAATTATTTGTCTACCTATAATGTAGCTCCTGCTTGAGAATATGACTTAAAAAGCAGTTTAGATGAACTGCGCTCACCAAGTTACAAACCCATATTAGAGGTGAGACTACACATTCCTCTATGAATGTTACAGGCCACTAAAATGATTAATGGTTCAGCTGTATTAACAATCTTCTCCGAGAATGTAAATACCTCCTAAGTGTTAGCTCTCTAAATTTTTTATATGTAACTGTGGATTTCTTACATTGCATTTCTTAGATTCTCACATTTCTTGAATGTCTATTTCATTTTGAAGAGAGTCAGAATATGAATATATTCATAAAATTTTAACAATATAAATAAAGTGAAAGTATTATTCTTTTTAAATTATTTTTATTTATTCATTTATTATTTTTTATGTGGTGCTAAGGATAGAACCCAGTGCCTCACACATGCTAGGCAAGCACTCTGCCACTCTGCCACTACAACCCTAGCCTGAAAGTATCATTCTTTATTGATTTGTTTATGCATATTGTATCACTAGTCTACAAGTTCCTTAAGTACCAAAGGGACCAAGATCTGATTCTTTTCTCATTCCCAAAACCAAACAGTTATTGGCATTTAATAGAAAAGTGTTGGTCTGCTGACTAACTGAATGAAAGAATTAACAAGTTAAGAAAAATAAAATTTCTTTCTTCAACTGAAGCTGCCTTTTGGGAAGGACAAATGAAGGCTAATTTTTATATTTCAGTGCTGCAGGGGAGGCTGGCCTCTATTTAGAGTCACAGTGGTACTTTTCTGAACAGGAAAAGCTCTGAAGGGAGCTTTTTTTTGAACCAGGAAGCTTTGAAGGGCTCTAAGCTCCTGGATAGAACACACTACTGACATCTTGGATAACCTTGCCACAGTTCTTGCTGGCAATCATTTTCCTTCATGCCACTTGAGAAAAACCACTCTTGATGGCCTTAAGCCTTTCCTTGATTTTATTTTAAAACATTATTCTCTTTTCTGTATTTATAAAAGGCAAAAAAAAAAAATAGTACCTATGTTTACTTGCCAAAACACTAATGAACATTTGTAATTAAACTAGATAACAATGGGGTGGGGGGGTGCTAAGGCTTTCTGTTAAGTAAATAAATAAATCTAATATGAATGCCTTCTGCCAACTATACATTGACTTATTGAACACTTCTTTCACCATTCCATCAGTGATGGGCTTTACATTGTGAAATTCTCCAAAGCTTATGAGATGGTCTCAATGTCCAAAGAACAGTAAAACACATTATTCACAAAATTATACCAAGTAACTGTTTCATGATCTTTCCAGTACCATCTGTACTGGGTAGTTATGAAATATGGTCACAAGTTAGAAGCAGGTATTTAAGGACAAGATCACAGCCGCCAAATTTAAAAGTCTGACAGGTGAGCATTTCAATCACAGGAAGTAATTTCAGGATTGAAGAGGGTRTTGAATAGGGTACAGAAGTGAAGGAAGGATACCAAGAGTTCCTACTGAGTGGAGTTTCTCAGACTCAATCAAGTTTAAATCAACAAGCAATATGAACAAGAATAGGCAGTAAGGTCAGTAGCAAGCAGTCAGATCAAGTAGCCAATCAGGAACTGAAATGGTCCCAGAAAAAGGAAAGGTGGTTGAATTAAAGTATAATGAGATATTGACCTGAGACTCTAGAAAAGCAAAATGGTTGACACACTAACATGGAATAAGGTTTCTACAATGCACTAAAGAAAGTTTTGCCCATCTTCTGGGAAATGAAGTGAATTCTGATGAGTAGTTTGAAAGTTATGATGAAAACGCATCCCCTTTATGTTACAACTGACAACAGTTTGTCAAGCTCACACATTTTAAATCCACCCAAAAGTAAATATAAGCAGACCTTCTCTGATGGAAAAGTTTCATACAGGGACACATAAAATGACATGAAATTTTATAACAGTAAGTTTGCGTTTGACCTCCAGCTTGCATGGTTATTGTCATGAATCTTAAGCAAGTCACTTAACTGTCCTGAATTTGAGTTTCTTCATCTAAAAACAAACAAACAAAAAAACAGAAACAAAACCAAAACCTGGAACTAAAAGATAAGAATGCTGCAAAAATGCTACCCTATTATTGAATTCTACACTTCATTCTGCTGGAGCTAGGAATTCCACATTTGAACTCACCCTCAATGGAGATTTCTGAAAAAGCAGTTTCCTGTCGCATGCTACCTGGGCTCTTTTGGCATCCCTTGCTGAATAAAACTTAATGACGGCATAGAAACCAGGGCGGGCCACTGCKGCGTTTGGGAAGACCCGGACTGAATATAGAAGGCCAAACCGGGAGAATACTGTGAACAGAGAATACTGTGGGGTGGCCCCACGCCAAGTTAAGTGCATCAACTCTCACGCCCCGAAAACAAAACTGCGTGTCCCCCCGCCCCCCTCCCGGTGCTCCAAGCCCTTCTACACGACCTGTGCAACTCAAAACACTTCACCCTTCACCAACGAGGCAACATTTATTTGAGAAGCAATACAAGGCAACAGGTAATGGTTGTTAAGAGGTACTTCTCTGGGTCGCGGTAAAATCTGCTGGGGTTAATGGGCGGCTGGGGTCCCGTCTAGAGCTAACAGCACCTCAGCAGGGCTCCGAGGCGGGTGAGGGGCTGAAGCTCCCAGTCAGCGGGTGAACGGCTTGTTCCATTCCTCCCTCTACCCTGGCCCCAGCTCACATGCAAGGCCTCGGCCGTGGGTCCAGAGCTCAGCTCCCACACCAACAGGGTTTTGTCACTCTCAGTGGGAACCGTGAAAGGAACCAWCTCCGCCATCCTACTGTCACTGCGCCTGCGCAGCTTAGGCTCAAACAGTTCTGCGCCTGCGCAAGGCATGCCGGCGATATTTTTAAAAGGGGCAGCGTGCAGGGGGCGTGGCCGGATGTGGGCGGGATCCTAGTCGTCCGCTCCCCAGCCTCTTCCAGCGCGGGCAGTCTCAGTGGATTGATTCCAGCCACACGTTCCCGATGCCCTTCGAAGACTTTAGTGCTTCTCTTCAAATATATATATATATATATAATTTTTTGTTGTTGTTTTTGAGATGCTGGGGTTCGAAACCAAGTAGCCTTACGCAGAGTAAGCAGACTCTTTATCATGAGCTACATCCCCAGCCTATTCGAGTGTATTTTTAGGGTAGATCCCTAAGAATGGGCTTACAAGATCAAGTATAGGACATCTTTATAGCAGCTAGTTTCATCTTTACTTGTGGAGCAGACTAAGGTACTTATTGGAACACAGAGTTGTGTGAATGCTGAAAGGTTCTTGTCTTGTGCACCTGAAGTACGCAGAGGACAGAGGGTGGGAATTCAGTAGTAAATTTACTAGAAGCAAGCAAGGAAAGCTCTCCCACAGCATGGGAAGGGTCCTAAAGAGAGTACTGTTGGATTTTTTTTTTTTTGTACCAGGGATCGAAATCAGATCGGCTTAACAACTGAGCCACATCCTCAGCCCTTTTTGAGACAGGGTCTGGCTAACGTGATGAGGGTCTCTGTCTAGGGATTTTTTATACTATTTTTTTTTCTAGCCAATCAACACTTTATTTTTCCAAATGACACCTGCACAGATGTTACTATCTACCTCCTGACCCCAATGGGGTCCCATCCATGGCCCAGAGGAGYAGGTTTCCTTCTTCCTCCCTAGGACAGCAAGGAAGCCTCTTGTCTCAATAAGACAAGAGCACATGCTTACCACCCARCACTGACACCCGTGCTGTGGGACCCTGCTCTCCTGCATCATGAAAAGGCTGAACTAGGGCAAGGGTACAGTGGAGCTTTTAGAGACTGCAGCAACCTAAATGCAGAACTACTGGCCTTTCCYATCACTCCAGGATTACTCTTTACCTCCCAGACYAGGAGCCACACTAAAGCTTGGCCAGTACCTGTGGGAAGGAGATGTCAAAGGATTGCACTGCTAAGGACAGGACACAGCAAGGAAACAAAGCTGAGGGGAATGCAGGACAAGAGAGAAAAATCATAAAGTGCCTGAACTAAACAACCAAGTRGGACATGAGGGCACAGCAGCACAGGTCCCTGAGGATAGGAGGAAAAAAGGGCTAGACCACCAGGGCTTGGGACATAGTGGAATGAAAATAGAAATGAGGCAGGGAGGCAAGTGCAGGCTGTGGGAAGGACTTCCCTAGCCCTGTTCACATCCACTAACCCAAATGAAAAATTATTTACAGACTTAAAATCCGTCCCAGACACAGGTGCTGCACCAAGCCTAGGACAGCAGGCAGGCAGGCAGGCAGAAGGTAGGCTGGCTACCAACTGATAGCCAGCTTCCCCACACACTGCCCCACCCTAGAGTGGTAGGGAAAGGAGAAAAGAGGAACACCTCAAGCCAGGAAGCCCACTGTGCCTGCAGCTCTTTCCCCATGGCTCATGGCTCTACCATGGCCTGTGCCTCTTGGTCTGACTGTACCAAAGAATGGGTATCTGGCCCCAAGGGAGGAGGGGGTGGAGCATCAGGGGGCTCTGGGTGTATCTCTGGCCCCAAGCCCAGCTCTGCATTCAGTTGCTCCAACTCCCCCTGATCCAGCAATTCAAAGTCCTCAGTGGCAAGTGCCTCCTCTTCCTCAGGGGCAGACAGGGGTTGGGGTGAGTCCTGGGGAAGAGGAGGGAGCATGGAGGGGGAAGGGAAGGGGACTGGGTCACTTTCAACAAGGCAAAGTGGGGGTGACAGGGTGCTGGGCGGAGCTGTGAGGTCACCACTCACTGCCTCTGGGCTCAGYGTCTCCACTGGTCCTCCAGGGGAGCACTTCATTTCATCCTGGGGGGACCCTGCCCCATTGAAGTGCGTGTTCACAAAGTGAAGAGGGGATGACAGCCGAAGCAAGGTTTCCTTGGCTGCTACATCTTCCTCCCCTTCCTCCAAGTCCAGGGCTTGCCTTAAGGGAGCTGRTGGGGTGCCTAGCAGATCTTCAGGAGGGGCCAGCTCTGCCTCCTCTCCTTCCCCCAGCTCCCGGCTCAGGGCCTCCTCTGGCTCACTCGGCAGGCTCTGCTGATCCAAGTCTTCAGAGACATCTGTCAACTGTGGAGTTGTGGCCCGTGATACAGAGAAGCCACCACTCTCCAAGATAGAGGCCTCCTCATCTGACAGCTCTGAATCTGTAATGGCCAAGGCCAGTGCTGTTTTCTTCACATCCACCACTGGGGAGAAGCCAGCCAGCTCTGCCTCGCTTTCACTCTCTGTTTCTGCCAGTGGCTCATCACCTCCTGGGGGTGCGTTCTTCCCTTGCCGCTTCCTCTTGTCATGTTTGTGATGCAGGGCATCAGCTTCCGCCTTCATGCTGTAGTCCAGCTGCATGAGCAAGGGCTCCAGGCGAGTGTACATCCTCTGGATCAGCTCATGATAAACCACCAGGGGCCTGATGAGGAACTAAACTTTCATTGGAAAGTCTTTATTGTTCTCTTATTCTGATTCGGTTGAAGGTTCACGATTTTAATTTCTTATTCCCATAGTGGGATCATTTAATGTGTTTGTTAACCTGAGTTTGTCCTGTACTTGTTCTTTAAAACAAAAGAACATGGGTTCAAAACAACTCTTCAGGGTTGACTAATGTTACCTTAGTCAAGGAAACCTGGGACAACAAAAATGTAGGGCGCTCAAGGGTGAGTAATGCCTTCTAGTCAGGTGGCCAAAATCAAAAAACAAGTTGTATCCTAGGGTTTTAATCTGGGTTGTGGTCTTACCTCACTAGGTAGTTAGCAGTACCTACTGAGCTTGTGAGAAATGACCTCTAGAAATGTGATCCTTTAAGAATATTTTGGGGAGTTTTAAATATGCAAGTCAAAGTAAAGCTGACTAACCTGTTAATAGTCTAGTGTGAAATTCTTAAATTCCCAGGTTGCCCTGGTGATTCTGGTGGCATATGTACACTTGTGGATATTGAAATGATGTGAGAAACTGGGTAACAGAATAAGAAGGAAAAATAAATTTGGAATCAGAGTGGGTCTAAATAGGGCACCAACACTGGAACATATTGTGCCTGACAAGTGGTGTTCTAGGTGTCAAAATTGGCTACATGTTGTAGTAGTAGAAATTTGGTCCTAAGGCAATTTTTTTCTTTTTGGGTACCAGGGATTGAATTCAGGGGCACTCAACCACTGAGCTACATTCCCAGTCCTATTTTGTATTTTATTTATTTACTGAGTTGCTTAGAGCCTTGCTTTTGCTGAGGCTGGCTTTGAACTTACAATCCTCCTGCCTCAGCCTCCTGAGCCATTGGGATTACAAGTGTGTGCCACCATGCTTGGCTCCTAAAGCACTTTTTAATCCTACAATGTCATAGTAAAAGAAAAGTGGCATGGGACTAATCTCACACACACCTGGGATAAGAAGGGAGTTTATTGTCAGGAGCCTAGAGAGAGGGACCGCAGCAGCAAGCAAGGGAGAGCAGCAAGCACCATTTGAATCTCACCTTTTATAGGCTGGAATCATGGCTGCACATTAGGGGAGGGTTTAGTTTTGACTTACATACTAAGCATCCCCTTMTCTTATGGAAGGCAAATTTATTTCTTGGGAACAGAGACAGGCAGTTTTCCTATCAGAGGGGTGACAGGAAAACCAGCATGTTCCTTTATCTTCTCAAGGAGAGAACAGGGAAACCAGTATGTCCCCATCTCAAGGGCCAGTAAGTTGTCTCCTATCTCTCAATGAGAGAACAGGGAGAGACCAGCATGTCTCCAGGCTGGTAGGTTTTATCTTGGGCAAAGTTTCTATTTCTTGGGAATAAGAACAGTATTCATAAAGTGGAGATAGGGAAAAGGAAGATATCTTGGCTGCAGTTATGCTACCAGATAAGACTCTATAGAACAGGTCTCCTGTGGTTTTTAAATAACACTTCTCAGATCTGTGCTGGTCTGTGATGTTTTCACCTATCCTCAGTAAAATCAGAAAAGGAAAACATGTCATTCTGAAATTTTGTAATAAAGTATATTTCATTTTCCTACATGTATGACCTCCCTACAATTTTGATGTTAAAAATATTTAAGGAAGAGATGCTGAAATAGAGAAGATAGTTATTTTAATACTTAAGCATTAACATTAAAAGTTGAAAACCTTTATTTTAGGTTTTTTTTTTTAACACTTTTCTGGTCTGGAAACYATTGAATAATCAACTCTTTTGTCTTATATATGATGCAGTTAGGGATCAGAGGTACAGGCTTTAGGACCCCATAACACTCCAGTTTGGTCCGACACTACTGATGGTGCCTATGTGCAGGACATTCTTCTGTGTCTTTGCCTTGTCCCTAAATAGGCTCAACTCCATGTCAACCCCCTCCAAGCAAATTGGATCCTATCCAGAAAAACTTTTTTCTTTAATCATCTAGATTCTAACTCATTCTGCCAAAGCAACCAAAAATCATTGGTAGCTGGCACTATTTCTGTGGTCTGCCACTACTTTTTCCACCTCAAATACCACAGCCTTAGCCCACCCATTACCTACCTCTAAGCTTCCTCTTTTACTTCAAAAATAGTTGTCTTGGGGGAATTACACAAATCTTGGTACTCTTTTAAACCAATAATTGTAGATTTTATTACCCACTCCATTGTCCATTGTAAGTTTGTGGATATTTCTGCTTCTCTGCCTCAATTATGAACACCCAAAGGACAATACCTTCTTCCAGAATCTGGTACACTCCTACTGTAGTAAGAACCCAAATGTGTGTGTGTGTGTGTGTGTGTGTGTGTGTGTGTGTGTGTGAATATAAATAAACTAACATATTTCTTGCCCAGGGAAAACCTTAGTACATTTTAAAAACTCTAGAAGTCATCCTTTTGATTTGCAAATCAAAGTCAGGAGCAAGGATACTGGGCCTGGGTGGGTGCACGGAGGAAGTCTAAGAAAATCATTTATCCCTGGGTTTCTTCATTTTATTTGTGAGTGGGAAGGGAAGAAAATAAAGTGGAGAAAAGAGGAAGAAGTGAAGGAATCCAGAATAAGGACAGGAATTTTGGAATGACTCCACAGAGTGCCTGCACCCTGTCTCATCTCAGGTGGCATCCTGTCATCCAGTAGGAGAGAGGCCGGCCTGCACAGTGCAACCTCCATTCTAACCTGTGGAGAAAAAAAATAAATAGGTTCTGCTTCCCACTTAGCAGCAGTTCACCTGTCCCAGTTCCTGGTGAGTCTCCCTGCAGAGCAACAGCAAGAATTCTCTTCATTACTTGCTCTCTAGCTTGTTTTCCAGGCTTCTTTAATTCTTCCTTTGAATTTCCCTCCTCTCTTGTCCTTTCCCTCTTTCCTCATTCAGAATGCTTCTATATTTTCAAATCCTCATCTCCCTCCAAAAATGGACAGTACTGTTTTATAAGACTAAGAATTACTTGAAAAGGAAGAAAAAAAGAAAAGAAAAAGAAAAGAAAATCCCACGTGCAACCATTGACTCTTTCAGAAAGGATCAGCCTGGATACTCATCAATGTCTCATTTTTTAAGGTGTTTGAGTCTGTAAGGAACTCAGAAACCTTGCAGGGGCAACCATTTACATGCCCAGTTTGAAGCACAGAAAAGGTTAGTGAACGTCTACCATTGAGGAGCTGGAAGCTTTCAGGATGTCTACCCAACTGAGCAGCTCCTACCTGTTGGAAGCTATGTTGTATTGCTTAAATCTACCTATGCCTGTAGCTGATTGGACCAAGGAAGAGCATCCATGGTCCAAACTGAACCAATCAGATTCTCTGTCGTAGAACTTGGACTAGGACTGAGCCTAGCCACTCCTCCTAATTGCTTATGACTTCAGCTCATAAACTTGGAACTTTGATAGGCTTGTGGATGGGGGCAGAGGAAGCAGGTCTACATAGAGATTAGTGAAGTGAATGCACCAACAGACACAGAAACCTGCCATGGAAAGCTTCTGGCAGTTTCCAGTCCTAATTGCATTCTCTTTCAGAGGTCTAGCTTGCACCCTTTCAGTGGGCTCAGTGAGACACCTTCTCCTATCAGAATAAATTTCCCTCAGCTAGCTCAAGTTGTTTTCTGTTACTGCAATCAAAATAGTTTTGTTTAGTATAATATCAGAGAATGGACCAAACCCAAGTCTTCTCAGATTTCCAAGCCAGATCACTATCCCACATTTTTCTAGACTTCTACAAGAAAGTGCCCCCAGGAGCCTCTCCCATGGCCTCTTTCTCTGCCACTCCTCCTTCTTGGGGTCCTGCCCATTATTCTCTCCTCACCAGTTCCTCATCCCCCTTTGTCCAGATATAATCTTTTTTGCACAGTTGATGCTCGAGATAAGGTCCGGTTCCAGCAGATCTGTCAGGGGGAAAGAGAACATTTGTTAAGAGTACAGAGGACAATCACAAAGACGGATGCAGATTCTGGCCTTCCTTGCACAGGATCTGCCACCTGGGCTTGAACTCATCCAGATTAGAACTCCCTCCCAGGGTTCTTTTAGACGCTCTTATAATGACTACTAGAGATTGGGCGTAGCTGGTGCTGTGGGCAGGAGAAGCAGGAGGGCCACTATTTGGGCCTGTCCATTACCATTCTTCCTAGTCAGGGTAGATGGTGGTTCCCCCAAAGTTTTCAGGGTTTCCAGGGAAAAGAAATACCAAAAGAGGCAGCCCAGAATCAAGGTAAAATCCTGTCTAATGAGGGAAACTCTTATTTCTTAGAACCTAATATTTCTTTAGGTGGAGATTCCAGAAATATTAGAGTAACAAGGAGGAGGTAAGGGGCAGAGTCCTGGGCCTTGTCACATCTCCTGGATCACCTCTGAGGTGAGGAGTTTACACTTGGCCTTTGGTCAGACTAGTATCCCTGCATACTACTGAAGGGTTAGACTTGAGCCTTCAAGCCACAAGTTGCATTCAATGCCATTCTTCTTTCAGAGATGATGTCTCACTATGTCACTCCAGGCTGGCCTCAAACTCCTGAGCTCAAGCCATCCTCCTGCCTCAGCTTCACAAGTCGATGGGATAATAAGCATCCCATCACCTCAGGTTCAGTTCTCCCTTTGGTCCTCAGCTTCCTCATTTGTAAAGTGGGAATCACAAACAGTTTTGAATGGAAAACTGGCATGGAAATTTCGATAGAATGAGGTAAGCATGTAAAGTACAACCAACTTTGGCTGCTTCAGGATCTGTAGAATCCTTTGACTGGATGGGTAACAGGGCCAGTAAACCAAGCCTCTGCTCAGTAAAGGGATTTCCTGACTCTTAGAACTCTCTAAGGACGTGCCTAGGCTGTGGGTGGGAAGAGAAGTCCTGTGAGTACAGCCTGGTCTCCTCTCTCGTCCCTCCCACCCTGGGACCCAGGCCAAACCTTCACAGTCCACGTGGCAATAGTTTTCTGAGTGACTCTGATAATTGTTGCACCAGTAGTGGCTGTTGATCTGGAAGATGCCATAGTCAGTGCTGCCATCTGCATTTTCATTTATCTTTGAGACGTTGAACTTGCTTTCCACAAAAGCCAGGCAAATCCCTTAGGATGGGGAGAAGAGAATCAGGATTTAGGGAGGACCTAGCTGAGTGGGAGAGAGATGGCATAGAAAGGAGGACAAGGATTTGGAGGAAAGGAACAAGATCTGGGAGGCTAGATGGAACTGGAGGGCTGGAAATGATCATGGGCATCTCATCTTATTCTTTGGTCCCTCCAGCCACCCATCAATATAACCAGCCATTCATTTTCCCTACCATACACCCGTGCTTTCTGATTTCTTGAGTATCTACTGTGTGTCAGGAAATATGCAAAGCCTAACAAGGGAAATTAACTGGGTCAACTATAGATGTTGCTTTCAAGGAAATTTTAGTATAAGAATGATAATATGTACCTAAAAAACCACAAAGCAATGTAAAAAGAGAAAGTGTTGCAAGACAGTTGCACAAATCCCAGACCAAAAGGGAGATGTCCCTGCCACACAGGGACATGAAACCTTTGCACCAGCCATTTCCTGTGTCTGGAATTTTCTTCCTCTGGCATTTGGTTGATCAGATTTTCCATTTCATTAAGCACTGCTCAATGTCACTTCCTCAGAGAGTCTTTCCTTAAGTTCTCCATCCAGAACAGTCAGTGTCACCTGTCACACACCCTGCTGCTTTATTCTTCTTCATGCATTTATCACTACCAGATGTAAAAGTGTGTGTGTGTGTGTGTGTGTGTGTGTGTGTGTGTGTGTGTAGGGAAGCGGATTTGTTTGTATCCCTAGACTCTGAAACAGTTATTGATATATAATAAGTGTTCAATTAATAATTTTTGCATGAATGTGAAATGCTGGGAAAAGCTTCCTGGCTTTGAAAAGAAGAATGGGAGAGAAAGAAAGATGGCTAAAAAGCATGGCACTTACAGTCATTCAAGGAGTAACCCTCATATCCATCCAATTCATTCTTGTACAGCACCCTGGCCAACTCACAGCGATGCATGCGAGTGGCCTGATTTATGACAAGGAGGCAGCAGGCCACAGTGATGCGCAGCACCCTGGTCATCCTCAGAGGGGAAAGGGTGCCCAGTAGGGCCCACAGGTCTTGTCTCACAGACTTCTTGCTGGTTTTCACTTTAGAACCTGGAGAATCTGGAGAGAATAAATTTCCTTGCTCACTCTCTATTCCCAGTCTCTTTCCTTTCATCTATTGTTTTATAAATATATTTTAATTTAAAGATTTACAAAAAGAGACTCTAATAATCCTCCATGTACCCATTTCTCAGCTTTGACAGTTAAAAACCATGGCCAATCTGATTTCCTTTGTAGGTCATCCTGTACTGGACACTTAGGTACCAACCACATTTGGGTCCTGCGGCCAGGAGGGAGATTGATGAAAACTATGCTTCACTGGCATTTGTGCATGTCTATTTGAGCATGTCCTTTCAGAATAAGAGTTAGGTAGGACACTGGGGCTGGGGTGGTGGCTCAGTGGTAGAGTGCTTGCCTAGCATGTGTGAGGCACTGGGTTCAATTCTTAGCAGCACATTAAAAAATAAAGATATTAGGGTCCATAAAAAGAAAAGAGTTAGGACACTGGATGGTGAATTCCTCCCCCACCCCTCACCCTTAGACACATACTCTGCCTTATGTGGGGTGGGCTGGTTGAAGGTTCGACCCTTTTGTTTCCACTCCAATGTGGTAACTTAAAGCAAGTCAGAGTGATATGGTTGTTCAAATAACCAGACTCACACTGGTGAAAGGGCTTTGGATTCACACCACCTGCTCTCAAAGGCTGGGTTGCTGTGTGACTTTGGCAATACAGTTAATTTCACTTATAAAATGAAGATATGTTAATACTTACTTAATAGGGAAGACATGATGATTAAATAAAATAATAAATGCCCAGGTCTTGGTTTCACATTTCCCACAAAATGAGCCCAGGATTCCTAGGAGTATGGCAATTCCTAAGCTAGAGCAGGAAAGGGTATGAGATAATTCTGGAATGTCTTGAACTGAACAAGTAAGGAAGTGCTCAAAATATGGATTGAGGCATGTCAGATAGACTTAAGGGCTAGCTCAAAGGGCCATTGGCTGGCCAAACCTTGAACGGTGTTTTTATATCAGCTTCATTGAGCTATAAGGCACAATGGATAATTAATTTATTGAAAGTGTACAATTCAATAGATAATTTATCAAAAGTATACAATTCAATTCCAGACATATGAAACTATTATCACAATCAATTTCAGGACATCTTTATCAACCCAAAATGAAGCCCTGTACCCATTAACATTTTGTAGCCATCATAGATTGGTTTGAGCAAGAATTATCAGCAGGTGCTGAGTTTGAGAGGCAGGAAGCTTGATGACAAACTGGATTCGCCCGAGCCTGGAGACAATTCTTTTACTTCTCTCACAGCCCTCACCCCAGAGTTGCCGATTTAGCCAATAAAATGACACAATGTCCAGTTAAATTAGAATTTCAGGCAAATAACAAATCGTCGCTTAGTTTAAGAATGTCCCTCGCCACCCTCCCCACCCTGACTCAGAAGCTTCCCTCAGAGACCCCACTCTTTGAGCCTGGGAAGAAGGGGGCTCCAGGTCTACCCATGAAGTTCCCTCTGGGTTCTCTCAGAGAAGACAGTGGTCCTAGAACGCGGGTTCCCACCCACCCCTTCGAAGCTTACCTCTTTCCCGCCCCTCTCTGACCTCGGGTCCCAGTCTCTGCCCAGGGCTTTCTGTGAAATCTAGAGAACAAGGCGGTTTGGAGCAGGAACCTCTTCCTCACCAAGCACACTCGAGCACCCCCTGGCTAATGCCCCTCCTTGTTCTAAAGAAGTCAGGAGCGATGGCAACTCCAGCCTTCTGGAACTCAGGTTCTGTGACATCATAATTGCCCTGGAAATACGCTGGTTCGAGACACGCAAACTGACCAAGCTTCAGGTGGAAATGGCAGATGGGCCTGGGAGGAGAGGTGACAAGTGTGTGGGAGCCTGCTGGGCCACACAGGGCTCCATCCTTCTGCCTCCCATCCTTTCTGGGAATAGGACCACACGGGGGAAACCCCTTTCGCCAMAGGTGTTTTTGGTGGGAGCTACCAGTCATAGGATCCTGCCTCCTTGGGGTGAAAAAAATGGTCTGTGAATCCACATATTTTGAATTGAAACTACGTGCAGCTCAGCTTCTCAAAGGAAGCCTTAGGGTGCAGGGATAGAGGCTGGTAGTTTTAATTCCTGTGGATACAGCCTACATCAGAGGCTAAGCCTCCATGAAGAGACAATAGCATCTGGGCCAGACTCGGAGTCCATCCTTTCTAGAATTCAAACACACCCTTCCTTTTCTGCAACTCTGAGATTCAATAAATAGCTCTAATATTCAATAAATCTCTCTTTTTTTCATAAACAAGTTTGAATTGGGTTTCTGTCACATGCCACCAAAGGAGACCTGCCTATTACCGCCGGTTATCAGGTTAACCATCTATGAGATGGTGAACTAACAATATATCACCTCTCCATGAAGGTCACAACATCTCTCAGTGTCAGTTACCAAGGAAGTCTGAGAATTTTCTCCAACTGTAGCAAAAAAAAAAAAAACTCTCAGAAAGAAAAGCTGAGTTTTTCTTTTTTTTAATATTTATTTATTTATTTGGCGGACACAACATCTTTGTTTGTTTGTGGTGCTGAGGATCGAACCTGGGCGGGACGCATGCCAGGCGAGCGCGCTACCGCTTGAGCCACATCCCCAGCCCAAGCTGAGAGAGTTTTGTCACTAATGGCCACTCAACCTCAGAGACAGAATGTTAGGATTTATGTAGAGTAACGTGGGCTTCTCAGTGGCCATCTTCCTAGTGCTCCCCATAGGGAGAAGGGCAAAGGCAGCCAGGGCAAGATGGTGAGTGAGGAAGCCAGGGTCAGGGCCAAAACAAAARAGCATGGAGAGGGTCTTCTAATGAGGTCAACTTCCCGCATGCCTGTGATCCCAGCAACTCGGGAGGCTCAGGTAGGAGGATGGCGAGTTCAAAGCCAAAAAGATCATTTCTGTTGTGCAGCCTGGGGCAAAAGGCAAAAGGACCTCAGCAGATTAGTGAGGCACTTAGCAACTCGGGGAGACACTGTCTTTAAATAAAATATAAAAAAGGGCTGGGGATGTGGCTTGGTGGTTAAGCACCCTGGGTTCAATCCCCAGTACCAAAAATAAATAAATAAAACAAAAACTTCCTGGTCAACTAACTGCTTGTGGACACAAGCTGGGGACCCAAGCAGACAGATATTTCTGTACTTGTGTCCCTAAGGGGGGGGGGGATCAAAAAAAAAAAAAGAAAGAAAATAGATGTGTGGACAGAGACGGCACCAATCAGTAATAGTGAGGAGAGTATGAACATGGAAGGGATATGGAAAGGAGGAAATTCCAGAGACCATAAAAAGAATAGGCCAAAACTTCCCCACCAGACTCCTAGTTCCGGGACCCCTTCTCTGGAGAAGTCCCTTATGGTCACTTTTGCAATAAACCTGCTGCTCGCTTGCTATCTCGGTGTCCTGTTCTTCAGTTCTTTGCTGAGTGGAGACAATGGACTCAGCACCCCTAGACTGTAACACTCACTTCCCTTCTCAGCAGGGCAGCAGCCCCTTTATCCTGGGGTAGGAAGTCAGGGGAAGCAAGGCGGAGGCAGAACCCTGGGGAAGATGGGTATCATTTTATGAGGTACTGTTTATGGTCAGAATTCTGCAGGTGCCTCAGATGACCCAGATAAATTTATCCTTGTAAAATTAGATCCCCTATCAAGAGGGACAACTCATAGGGCCCAGGCTACCTGCTGTCAGGCCTCTCTGCTGCTTAAAATCTTGGGGGTGATGACGTCAGCACTTGAAGAGGGACCAGAGGGCCCCACCCCACCCCAAGGCCCAGCATCTGTGACATACATGAGCCCTGGGTGGAGTCCTATACCTTCAGAGAAGTGGAAAATCCAAGCTGGCACACAAAGATCAATTCTGGATGTGCAGCCTGGGGTAAAAGGACAAATGCAGGCCCCAGGCCATCTGTCTAAATATTTACAAGTTATACATCAAACTAAGGGACCAATAAATAAAATATATTCGGTGTTCATACCCTGATGGATTCTGAAGGGATCTTTAAAAGGATACAAATTGTAATTGTGTATCAAGCTGTGTTTGCAAATGACATAGTTAGCAAAATGTCAGATGACTGGATTTAGGTTTTTTTTTAATAACTTCATTTTATTTATTTTTATGCAGTGCTGAGGATCGAACCTAGTGCTTCACATGTGCTAGGAAAGTGCTCTGCACTGAGCTATACCCCCCAGCATGGATTTAGTTTTTATTGCACATGTCTGAGTGCTCTTTTATGAGCTGACTGTGTTGGGATAAGCAATAAAATGAAGATATATGTAATTCATCAATATTAAAACTATTCCATAAGCCGGGCACAGCAGGCATGCCTGTAATCCCAGCAACTYGGAAGGCTGAGGCAGGAGGATCACGAGTTCGAGACCAGCCTCAGCAACTTAGTGAGACCCTATCTCAAAAAATGAAAAAAAAGCTGGTGATGTAGCTCAGTGGGAAAGCACCTCTGGGTTCAATCCTCAGTACCAAAAAGGGAAAGGAAAAAAGAAGAATAATGTGTAATGTATTTAATGTTACAAAGTTTTCCTCAGCTTACGTTTACAACTGAGGCAAAATTATACTAATTTTTTTAGTACCTTCAAATCATGAATAGGAGCACAAAAACATGCAGAAATGATAATCTCAGCACTATTAGAAAATGATACTTCATTCATGTCTCAGGTACTTGTTCTTGTCAGAAAAAGCTAACACAATCTATATGATTCCATTTGAACAAAACTAGAATGTGTAAACTGATCTATAATACAGAGCAGAGCTGTAGGTACTTGGGAATTGGGGAAGTAGGAAGGGAAAGGAGGGGGTCATCAAGGAGCAAAAGGAAACTTGGGAAGAAATGGATATGTTCACTATCTTGATTTTGATAATAATTCCAGGCATGTCTATATGTCCCAAGTTATCAAATTGTACTCTGTAAGTTATGCAGT